GGCAAAACGAACGAATTAGTCGAGACATCCTCGAAATTCCTGCGCGCGGGACGCGGCACGCGCGAGACATCCTCGGAATTCCTGCGAGCGGGACGTGAAAACAAGCATTTTGGCTGAGACATCCTCTGAATTCTGGCCCCCCACGAGGCCCCGCTCGAGACATCCCCCGATTTTGCAACACCAGTGTTTCGCTCGAAACATCCTCAACAAATCATGGAAATTTTGCAAAACCAGCGTTTCGCTCGAAACGTCTTCAACAAATTATGAAAGGCAAGCATTTCGCTCGAGACATCCTGCCAAAATTCAAAGGAATCCTGGCAAAACAAACGAAATAGTCGAGACATCCTCGAAATTCCCGCGCGCGGGACGCGGCACGCGCGAGACATCCTTGGAATTCCTGCGCGAGGGGCGCTTTGCCGTGTCGCGGTCGGCTCTGCAAAACCAGCGTGTCGCTCGAGACATCCTCAACAAATTCTGAAACCAAGCGTTTCGCTCGAGACATCCCCAACTCTGCAAAACCAGCGTCTCGCTAGAGACATCCTCAACAAATTCTGAAAAACAAGCGTTTCGCTCGAGACATCCTCAAAAATAATTCCGCCGGCCCTACTCCCGCATGTAATTTATCGCAGAATAATTTCGCCAGCCCTCCAGCCGTCGAAACCGGGGGGTAAACCCACTAAAAGAGAACCCTGGGCTCGAGCCCTTTCCGGGAACAAAAACAAAACACCACCGAACAACAACAAACACGACGCAGTAATTGCAACGCGGGCGCCTACCATACGTTAGCGGCCCAGACGCACCCAAGCGTGCGCACGCACACCTGAATAGTAGCAGCGGCATGGGACGCGAAGCAAGCCCTGAGCGCCGCGCGGCTTTGGCACTGGAGGTAAACAATAAAACAACGATGGGTACGCTAGATCACACCAGCGCGTTCGCATCGGGTGCAGTCGTCCTGACTTTGTCTAAAACATGCGGCGGCCATCGACGTTTCGATCTACCTTCTCAAAACACAACAAGAACGCCTGGCGAACGCCCATCCTGCAACCTAATTGTTCCTCCCATTATTTTCCAATCCTCACATTTCCTCCCATGTCCTCCTCTCCTCCCCCCTCCTCTTCCTCGCCGACGACGACCGAAGGAACATGATCGACCCACGAACCCGGAAAGGAATATAGAACTGTAACACATGTCAGCGTTTTCAAAGACACCTGATTGGGTGACGGGCAAATGCAATGCTGAAGGTATCGATCTTAATGTACCCTGCCGAGGGCTGTGCTGTGCTGCGCCGTGCTGAATTGCGATGTGCCATGGCGCGATTGTGCTCGATAGCCTCGTGGATCGAGTCCTCCTTTGCATCCGAGTCCTGTCCGAACTGATCTGCCCCAGGGCTAATGGACAACGGGACATGCCAGGAGGACGCGCCGCGAAACGTCCCAAGGGATGCGCCAAGCGGCGTGCCAGGGGACGTGCCATGGGGTCGCACCGCGGGACGTGCCAAGGGGACGCGCTACGGAACGTGCCAATGGATGTGCCACGGGATGTGCCAGGGGACGCGCCACGCGACGTGTCAGGGGGACTCGCCAAGGGACGCCCCACGGAACGTGCCAAGTTGCAATGCTGAGTGTATCGATCTTGATGTACCGTGCCGAAGTCTGTGCTGTGCTGCACCGTGCTGAATTGCGATGTGCCATGGCGCGATTGTGCTCTATAGCCTCGTGGATCGAGTCCTCCTTTGCATCCGAGTCCTGTCCGAACTGATCTGGATCTTAAGCTCGAGCTGCCTGAACACATAGTAGCTGCCCCAGAGCTAATAGGACTAACAGGGGACATGCCAGGAGGACGCGACGCGGAACGTCTCAAGGGACGCGCCAAGCGACGTGCCAAGGGACGTGCCATGGGAACGCACCGCGGGACGTGCCAAGGGGACGCGCTACGGAACGTGCTGGGGACAAGCGCTTCGCTCGAGACATCCTTTCAAAATCATCAGAATTCCTACGCGCGGGACGCGGCACGCGCGAGACATCCTCGGAATCCTTGCGAGCGGAACGTGAAAACAAGCATGTCGCCTGAGACATCCTCTGAATTCTGGCCCCCCACGAGGCCCCCGCTCGAGACATCCCCCAAGTTTGCAAAACCAGCGTTTCGCTCGAGACATCCTCAACAAATTATGAATTACACTACACCCGCGCTCCCAGGGCCATTACGCTACGTCAGCGCTCCCAGGGCCACGATCCCTCGTAAGGGCTCCTGGGCCCTCCTGGGTCTTCCTTGGACCTCTTGGGCCCTCCTGGGCTCTCCTGGAGCCTCCTGGAGCTTCTCCTGGGCCCTCCTTGGGCCCCCTGGTGCCTCTTAGAGCATCCTGGGTCCTCCTGGGCCCTCCTGGGCTCTCCTGGGCCCTCCTGGGCTCTCCTGGAGCCTCCTGTGCCCTCCTGGGCGAAGTCAAGGTCCGAAAACACATGGGACTTGCCACATTTCTGAAATTCGATGCCACCCCTCACGCAGGTCGGCGGGGTCAGGGTCCAAAAACACAAGGGATTTGCCACATTTCTGAAATTCGGTGCCACCCCTCACGCAGATCCGCGGGGTCAGGGTCCAAAAACACAAGGGATTTGCAACATTTCTGAAATTCGGTGCCACCCTCACGCAGATCCGCGGGATCAGGGTCCAAAAACACATGGGATTTGCTACATTACTGAAATTCTGTGCCACCCCTCACGCAGATCCGTGGGGTCAGGGTCCAAAAACACATGGGATTTGTCACATTTCTAAAATTCGGTGCCACCCCTCACGCAGATCCGCGGGGTCAGGGTCCAAAAACACATGGGACTTGCCACATTTCCCGGAAAGGGCAAAGGCCCAGGGTTCTCTTTTAGTATGTAAACATGTCCCCGGTGCCCAACTTGAAGGAGGCCGGCTAAATTTTTCCCTGATAAATATCGAGGTCGAAGGAGGCCGGCGACATTATTTTCGAGGATGTCTCGAGCGAAACGCTTGTTTTTGAAATCCCGATCGAGAAATCACAGGGTGCGGGACACCTCAGCACGACCACACCTCCAGCATGACCACACCCCAGCACGACCACGCCCAGCACGACCACGCCCCAGCACGACCACACCCCAGCACGACCACACCCCAGCACGACCACACCCCAGCACGACCACACCCCAGCACGACCACACCCCAGCACCAGCACGACCACACCCCAGCACGACCCGATCGATAAATCACAGGGTGCGGACCACCCCAGCACGACCACACCCCAGCACGACCCCACCCCAGCACGACCCCAGCACGACCAGCACGACCACGCCCACACCCCAGCACGACCACACCCCAGCACGACCACACCCCAGCACGACCACACCCCAGCACGACCCCACCCCAGCACGACCCCACCCTAGCACGACCACACCCCAGCACGACCACACCCCAGAACGACCACACCCCAGCACGACCCCACCCAAGCACGACCCCACCCCAGCACGACCACACCCCAGCACGACCACACCCCAGCAGGACCCCACCCCAGCACGACCCACCCCAGCAAGACCACACCCCAGCACGACCACACCCCAGCACGACCTCACCACAGCACGACCACACCCCAGCACGACCACGCCCCAGCACGACCACGCCCCAGCACGACCACGCCCCAGCACGACCACGCCCCAGCACGACCACCCCCCAGCACGACCACCCCCCAGCACGACCACCCCCCAGCACGACCACACCCCAGCACGACCACTCCCCAGCACGACCACACCGCCTTGGTTGAGTGGTTGCCTGTCGTCGTGGAATGTTTCGTGGGGTGTCTCGTGGAATGTTTCGCGGGGTGTCTCGTGGAATGTTTCGTGAGGTGTCTCGTGGAATGTTTCGTGAGGTGTCTCGTGGGATGTTTCGTGAAGTGTCTCGTGGGATGTTTCGTGAGGTGTTGCCCAGTTGGGTATCGTGAAAACGTGTCCATGCTCCACATGTCTATATCCCTTTCCGGGTTCGTGGGTCCATCATGACCAAAATTCGGTGCCGCCCCTCACGCAGGTCGGCGGGGTCAGGGTCCAAACACACATGGGATTTACCAATTTCTGGAATTCCGTGCCACCCCTCACGCAGATCGGCGGGGTCAGGGTCCAAAAACACATGGGATTTGCCACATTTCTGAAATTCGGTGCCACCCCTCACGCAGATCGGCGGGGTCAGGGTCCAAAAACACATGGGATTTGCCACATTTCTGAAATTCGGTGCCACCCCTCACGCAGATCGCGGGGTCAGGGTCCAAAAACACAAGGGATTTGCAACATTTCTGAAATTCGGTGCCACCCCTCACGCAGATCCGCGGGGTCAGGGTCCAAAAACACAAGGGATTTGCCACATTTCTGAAATTCGGTGCCACCCCTCACGCAGATCCCCGAGGTCAGGGTCCAAAAACACATGGGATTTGCTACAGTTCTAGAATTCCGCGCCACCCCTCACGCAGGTCGGCGGGGTCAGGATCCGAAAACACATGGGATTTGCCACATTTCTGAAATTCAGTGCCACCCCTCACGCAGATCCGCGGGGTCAGGGTAAAAAAACACAGGGGATTGCTGCTATTTCCGAACTTATGCAACTTCAAGAATCCCAAACTCCGTTCCCAGCGCCGTTCGGGAGGCCGCGGTTCCTCGTTATTTATCGAGCGAACGCGTTTACCTCGTTTTTTTATCGTTTAAAGCCGATGTCGGAAAAAGTGGGCTTCACCTGTGAAATATCGAGGTTTCCTTAAAGGCAGTAAAATTCCAAGAGCACGATCTGCGTGAGGGGTGGCGAAAAATAGCTTTCGTCCTCACTATTTTAATTCGCCGGCCCCCTTCGACCTCGTAATTTATCGCGCAGAAATTCGCCGGCCCCCTTCAAGTAAAAACCGAGGGTAAACCTACTAAAAGAGAACCCTGGACCCAGGCCCTTTCCGGGAAAAAGCAATCGACGACGACGATCACGACATATACTCATTCCATGCAGGTGTCCTCGAGGCTGGGCTGGCGCGCCGCCGCAGCAACAGCACGGCAACGTCCCTGCGCCCCATCACCGCCGCGACGTGCAGCGGGGTCCAACCCGCCGCGTCGGGGACGTCCAGGAGCGCGCGGAGGCGCACGAGGTCCTTCGGAAGGGGCACACATTGTGGTGAAGACGATTGCGATTTCTTTGCGGTTGTACCACGGAGCCGATGGCAATGACAGGGTGGCAATCGACGATGTCCGGACCTCGCAATTCGCTGACATGGCGCAGCGTGACGCTTCGGGCTCGAACGGAGCCGAACCGTCTCAGCCCTTCCAGGATGGGCGCCAGGGCACAGACCACGCGGAGCAGGAGGGAGGCGGGGACGGTCGGGCACGAGCAAGCAGTGCGCTAGAGACTCGCCGCCCGGGAGCCAGCGGGGAGCCCGCGGGGGGGAGGCGGCGGCGGGCACGGGCGGAGGTGCGCCGGAACGTGCCAGGGCCTCGCGCGCGGGCGAGGGCAGGCAGAGAGAGGTGCGAGCCGCCGTGTGCAGCCACGCCCATGGCCGCCTCACTGCACACTCGCACGCGCACGAGGGGGCCGGCGCTCCGCCCGCGGCGCTCGGGACAGACTCTGCGACCGCTCCGAGCGGGCAAAGAGCGGCAGCAGCAGCCCGCCGACGCCCTCGTGCAACGGGGTGAGCGGGCGGGCCGAGCCGCGGAGAGGCAGGGCGAGAGAGAGACTGGGCGGTCGGCTCATCGAGGCCAGCGCACCCGAACATCTGCCAGCCGACGCGCCCCCGGTCAGACCGGGAAGGAGGAGGAAGAGGAGGAGGAGGAGGAGGAGGAGGAGGAGGAGGAGGAGGAGGAGGAGGAGGAGTGCATGCGCAGGAAGCCTCGGCGACGGGCAAGCCAACCACCACCGCCAGCAGCAGCAGCAGCAGCAGCAGGGACGCAGCGGGGCAGCAGCAGGAGGGATACGCAGGAGAGGGCGCATGGCAACAGCACCAGCGACGACAGCAGAAGCAGCGGGCGAGCACACAGGGGGGGGCACAAGAGGACAAACACAAAAACTCATACACAACAGAACGCTCGAACAGGTCAGGACCTCACGCCCGCGAGGGCAACTGTGCTCAGCATTCCACCTGCCCCCTCAGCCGAGAGCGAGCTCGAAACACCAGAGAAGTTAGAGAGACGTTCCGAAACAGTAATAAGGTTAGACCCACCCACAACGGGCCAGGGCGTGCTAAGATCTCCGGTACCTGGTTAACAGTATTTCTAGTTCGCGCGCGCGGGGCGGCCCCTGGGGGTCCCCGGACGAAAAGTACCCCGGCAAGGTCCCGGCAAGGTCCCGGCAAGGTCGGGTCAGAGATGCCGGAGTTCTGTTTCGGAGTCCAAGAGGGCCCCAGATCGGTCCAAGAGGGCCCCGAGAAGCTTTCTAGACAGTCCAAGAGAGGCCCGAGACGGCCAAAGATCGCCCGAAGACGCCCCAGATGGCCCCAAGACAGCCCAAGAGGCCTCCAAGACGCTCCAAGGGCCTTCCAAGAGGCCTCCGAAGAGGGCCCCAAGTTGCCAAAATCGTTGATTTTCATTGGTTTTTTCTATGTTTTTTTGCGTTCTGGCCTTTTCGCTTCCGGACGCTCCAAGAGGGCCCAAGAGGCCTTCAAGACTGCTCCAAGACGGCCCACGAGGCTCCCAAGACGGCCCCGGAGCGGCCCAAGAGCGCCCCCCAGACGGCCCAAGTGCTGCCCAAGGCGGACCAAGAGGCCCCAAGACGGGCCCAAGAGGGGCTCAAGAAGGGAACCGAGAACTGAAAAATCGAGCCCTCCGCCCCAGAAGGCGCCCAGGACCCCGAAAGAGGCCCCAAGAGACTCTCCAAGACACCCCCAAGACGCCCCAATAAGCTCCCGTGAGGCCCCAAGAGGACCAACAACGTCAGGCCCCAGGCCCCAAGAGGACCAACAAATACCGCCAAGAGCCCGCCGAAAGCCCCCCAAGAGACCGTCACGAGAGCTCAGGAGGCCCCCTGGAGGCCTCCCGAGTTCTCCAAGAGGCCTAAAAAGAGGCGCCAAGAGGCCCCAAACGGCCCCACCGAGGCTCCAAGAGGCCACGAACGCGCAAGCAAACGCCTGCGATGGCACAATACGGGCTGGCGGAATGAGCGAAGCGATTAAATAAGGTTAGACCCACCCACACGATTACGGACACGGGCATGTTCAGCCCGAATTAGGAGGTGGCGCTGCATCAGCAAGTCCAACCTGACTTCAAAGATGTTTTCAACCGACGTCCCCGACGGAGCGGTCCACAACCGAAAGTGAAAAGGGGTGCGAACAATGAGGAGGGGGCATGCCCACATCGAGAATCGACCAGCAACGCGGGGGCAATGCTGGTAGCCACGCCGATCGCCGGGGCTGACACGACAAGCAGCAGAAAACACCCATGCTGAGAGCGAAGTCGGGCCGAAGTCCACACCCCTCGGCACAGGGCCCTCGGCACGGCAACAACTGAAAGCATCGGAACCGCCTGGAACCTGGAAAGCCAAACTTCTGGAGAGAGGAAAGAAAAGAAGCCAATCCAGCAGTCTGCTGGGGGTTGCACCAGCCATCGCGCCAGACTGCTCCGCCTCTCTCAGACCACACACATGAGCTGGGCTGCGTCACGGACGCTTGGTCGTCAGGGCAACTCTGCGCGTCGAGGGGGGGGGCGTCCCTTGAAAAACCGCCCCCATGCAGGACAGGACAGAAACAAACTCACAAACAATCCGAGGGATTGCCGACCAGGGAGAAGCTCAGGGTATGGTCACGAATCTGCGGCAGGTCAGTTTGGAACCGTGGCCAGGCAGGGGCCCCCTGAGCCAAACGACAAGCGAACGCTCGCGACACATGACACATCGAGACGGACTGTGCGCTGCAGTCTGCAACCCCAAGAGTACGCATCGTCTTGCCACTGAAGCCGTGCCGAAGGGCAGCGCGAATGATCAGTAAACACTCGATCTTCAAGTTGGAACAGACAGAGACCTGGACGATAGGAACTTATCACGTCGCTAAGAACAGAAACAGCCACACCGCTGTGAGCAGCCACCGGCTCAGCTAGGCTGGCAGCGCGAAGGACCGACCTGTCGAACTGCGCCGGAAGCCATTGGCAAGAGCAACAGGTCCAACAGACACACTCATAGACCTTCTTCACTAAGCCGCCGCAGAGAACCGCTCATCCACCACTCAAGTTCCCAAGGCGCACTCGAAAAGTATTCAGGTCCAGAGGTTCCCGACGTGCAACTCCAACCCGATTGCATCAGCGAGCAAGCCCGGCGGGCAAGGCTAAGCAGGGCTTGGGGCGACAAACGAGGTAGACACCGGCCGCTGAGCTGGTCAAGTCAGGACGCGCAGAGGGCTGCCTGAGACGACCTCGCCGTGGCCGACCACCCGGAGCCGGGCGGGCTGGAGGGTCAGACACACGAGACGCTTTCGCAGCGGCTGTCGGAAGGGACCCGCTCGGGCGACGAGCGCGGTTGGAGGCAGTGGCTTGCGTCCCGGCCCGCGCGGCAGGCCTCGCCGTGGCTCGAGGGGCGCGACCGCGAGGAGCGCAGGGCGAACGAGGACCACCTGATCACGTTCGTGATCGTTTCTGGCCCCTGTCCTGCAGCGGAAGGTTGGAGCCCCCGGGGCCCTCGGCCCTCTGGGCCTCGCGAGGAGTGCTCTGGAGGCCGCGGGGGGCTCCTTGGACATGGCACCGCGGGCGAGGGGCACAGTTGGCAGCGCCCAGGCTTGGCCGCAGGCTACGGTGACCCCCTTGTTGTTGCTGTTGCTGTTGCTGTTGCTGTTGCTGTAGCTGTTGCTGTTGCTGTTGCTGTTGCTGTTGTTGAACATTATTACTTCTAAAGAATAATTATTGTTGGGACCCCTGGTGCACGACCCCCCCGCCGCGCCTAGGCCGCAGCCTCATTTTCATCATTTTCGTGAGGAAGTCTCAGGCAAAACGGGTTGGTCCGGATCCGGTTGTGTTGTTACGATCGGTTTTCCCTTGCAAAAAATAAGCTAAAGTGGACATTTCTTGTTCTAACATAACCAAACTTCAAGAATCCCTTGCAAAAAATAAGGTAAAGTGGACATTCGCGCGCGCAAGACGAAATCCTTCCAAAACCTTAGTTTTCGTAGCGATTTTAACATAAAAACATCAAAAAACCAATGGTTTTTCAAAAAAATGTCAAAATTTCATCCCGCGCGCTCTTGCGGATTCGTAGGAAACCCAACACTTTTTAAACATTTCTGTCAAACGGGCTTTTGCGAGCAACTTTTTCGAACTTCTGCAACAACGGTTGCGCACCTGCCAGGGCCATCATCCCTGTCAAATAATACCATGCGGGACACATTCGTTTTTTCTTCGCGCGCGCACGCCGTCGTCGTCGGCCGCGGGGCCCTGAATAGTAGCCACGGTCGTCCGCATGCCACGAAGTGAAGTGTCCGAACGTCATAGGGCGGGAAGCTGGGTGTGGGTGGTGGCGAAGAGTCGTTTGGAAATTTGGTAGAGCTTGAACCGGCCCCCCCACAAAGTGGGGGTATTGCCCGCCTCCTATGAAAACCCTGGCACTGGTGAGAACGGTGTGTCCCCACGTGCTAGTAATTGTTGTTGTTGTTGTTGTTGTTGTTGTTGTTGTTGTTGTTGTTGTTGTTGTTGCTCGGACACTGCTCGGCTGCCGATCGTCAGCGGCAGCCTCGCCGCCTCCGAGCACGCCGGAACCCGCTCGAGGTCGTCCACGGCTGCTGCCGCCGCGGCCGACAGAGCCAATGCCGCGGCGGCGGACGCGGGGCCGAGCTGCCGCCCTCCGAGCCCCCTGGCCGCACTTTGCACAGGGAGCTCCAGAACGCAGCCGCATTGTCGAGGGAGCTAGATACGCAACATCGCAAGCAATCCACTCGCCCAGCTCGCTGCGAGACGCAGCGCTGCGTCACCGACAGGACTAACTTGGGCGGCACCTTCCTCACGTCGAGTCGGCTGCGGGCCGCCGCCGTCGAGGGCCAGTCAGTGCCAATCCCAGCGCGCCCGCAAGGCTGGCGGAGCGCGCAACTCCTCCACGTGACCCTTGGCGCAGCGGTCGGCTTCTAGGTTGCCACACCGCCCGCGCCGAGACGCCCGCCCGCCCTCGATGTCCCGCGCCGTCGCGTGC